GCGCAGGTTTGACAAAAGTTCGGACGATAAAAGCTTGTGCCTGAGTACCACATCTGCTGTCTTGTTAGCGAAGCTGGCGGCGTGGTTACTCGTTGACTGCTCAGATCAGCCAAATTTAGTTTTGCTTCTCGAAACGATATTTGTGCTGAGCGGCGAGTTACAGTGGATTAGTGAGAGGGCGTGAGGTCCCGTGATCTTCCCTCCGCGCTCTTACCGACTGTCCTGAGAATTGGTATTGATGCAAGCGCTCTGGTACTCGCTCACTTGATGGCAAGCGGCTAAGGCACAGGTCTTGAAATATCCTGCAACTTTTGTCAACTGGCGCTAAATAAACATTTGCTAGGATTGATTGAATAGATGAGCAGGCGAACAATACTGCCACGTTCAACAGCGTCGGTGCTGTCATAGCCCTCCGAAACTAGAGAAGATTTCTGCTGTGACAGAATTTCGACTTTGGGTAGGTTCGTGGCTCTGCACGGTCTGTGAGAGCTAAACGCGCTTAGTGGTTCCTGTCTCCAAGTACCAGCTTCGATCAACGGTCGCTGAGCCCCCCCCCCACCTCCTGATTGTGTAAAGCATGTGTTAGGTTGTTGAAAGCACCTGTTTCAAAGATTCGAAAGAAATAAGGAGAAGTCCAAGTCCGCTAATGCTTCTACGTGTTTGACAGGCTCAGTACTGCTTCAAAGGACACCGCACCTGCAACAGAATCTGCTTTATCAAGGCGAAATTTCCACATTCAGAGTTTTTTTTTGTCGACGAACTTCCCTATCAACCCAGTATACGCCACTACGATTCTAAATGGATGGAGGAAGTCGGACCATCCCAGGAGAGATTGTTAAACGCCAAAGCCTTTCTTAGTTTATGTGCCATTGGCTTTGTGTGCATAAATCCGTAGGGCTTTCCTAGTTGCGTGGGCGCATGGCCAAAACTCAAACACTCACATGTTTGGTCAGCTATTTATTACTAGCTAAGATGAAAAGGGAGAAATAAGGTCTCTTCGCCGTTGATCAATCCTTTTCTCTGGGATGCGGCACGCATTCTACTTCCATTTGAAGTTGTGGTTAGCTTATTGTATGAGATGTATACCATAAACCATGACTCGCGGGAACAGCCGATCAACAAATTAGTGTTTGTCTTCCCTACCTTCTTAAGTGGCAGCATGTATGGTTACCTGGGCTGGCAACCGCTTCTGTGACTTGACAATCTACAGCGCACGTGCTCCAGTCCACGTCATACCCTCACAATCACATTGTTAGTGACTAAAGCGGCAGGAATGCTGTCTCTAATGTCATCATTCTCCACTTACTAGCCTTTGATATGCTGTAAGTTCAATTATTGCTTTACTTGATCGCGACGGCGTATCCTTGCCATCTCCCTACTGATGATTCCACTACCTGTCAAAGGGTGAGTAATGTTAGTGGGCATTAAGACTTCTAACTTGCCACGCGTCTAGGGATGACGCTTTAAGATCGACTTCCCGTCCATCCTTTCTAAATTCGCTAATTGTTAGCAGGACTCGTTTAGCCAAAAGAATTTGGCCTCCCTCTACCTCATTTCAACCTCTCTTTTTTGCACATTCCGACCGTTTAGCAAAAAAAAACCAACTCTGTGGGCCTTTGCATCGGCCCCGTTACGCTTAACTATGCAACAACGTCTTTTGAAAAAGCTCTCCACCGGCTTGGCGACCTCCATTGTGAGAAGTATAATCCCACGTCCACTCATGCCTGATTGCATCCATTAGACCCCCCGCGATTCAGGAACTAGAAAAAAGAACCAATCACCATGGCACATTCAAAGAACGCGTGCCTGATTCTACCCCAATCCTCATGTCTTCCTATACTGTTTTTCCATTATTTTCATGGCAGATCTCCAGGCGCATGACACCTTTCTCGAAATCAGGAACATAAATGTGACGGTCTTTACTGTCCGCTTTGGCAACCTTGCAGGAATCTAAGCAAATGACTTGTCTTCCATCCTGCATTCTGAAATATGCAGGAAGTTCTACAGTGAATGGCATATTTAAAACGGCTCTTCTTTACGCACAACAAACATTGCAACTTGCGACGAAAAATATTCTCCACAACTTAAAGCCCGAACATTGATGCATAGCTTGGAGCTACAGTGCATGTTAGTCAATGTCTGGCTTTCCCGAAATCCAAACATCAGATGTGCGAGCTTACGGGTAGCCGTCGTGCTGCACGTGCCCCCCCTTACCACGCACCACCAGCCCGAGGGTCAAAGTCTTCGGCACTCTAACTCCCACGACGTTCTATGACCCAGGAGTTGCAGGCTGACACAAACACCTGACTTGTAAAATTGACGCATTACTCCAACGCCTGACCGGCTCGCGCCTCCGAAACGTTACCACAAGAACATGATTTGTCCTTGAAGGTTGAACGAAACGCATGAGATGACCCCAGGGCTCGCACTTGAACCACACCTCGCGTGATCGTGCGCAAGTGCACTGTTTCATGAACCCCCACCAGCGCGCTGTGCTTTTGGCACTCTCCAGTTCCGACTCGGCATTTTGCCCAGTACCCCACGCACTGCACCCTGGTTGACTAGATCTTCTCTGGGCATCAACGTGCATTCACCCAAACGGACTGAAACAGCCGACATTAGTCATCACACGTATCCGATTCCCTTGATCGCGACTAACTTAGTTCTATACGAGGTGTCAGAATCGTTACCTGATACGATGCGCTAGCAGTGAGCTGGCCTAGCATCCAAGTCAACCGGTTAAACATGGCGACAGGGAGCATACTAAAGGAGCATATCTTTTCTGGCCAGACCACAATCTGTGTGGTCCATTGCCAATGGACCGCCTACAACACGCAACAAAACCTTTTTGAAAAAGCTCTCCACGGCCTGAACGACCTCCCTTGTGAGAAGTATAATCCACTACACATGCCTGATTGCATCCATTAGACTACCGCGATTCAGAATGGAAGAACAATGCATGGCACATTCCAAAGAGGTGCTGTACCCCATAATATGTCCTCTCTATACTGTTTTTTCGGTTTTTCAACTGCAGGGTTTCGAGGTTGAAGCTTCTGAATAAGGAAGCAAAAACTTCACGTCCTTACTGTCGCTTTGGAACCTTGCAGAATCCTAGCAAAGAACTGATCTAAAACTCTGAAATTGCAGAGTTAACATCGAACGGCTACTCAATAGCGGCTGTTTCTTTCGCAACCCATTGAACTTTGGAGAGAAAATACTTTTCAAGATTAAAGCCCAATGATGCTTTTTGGAGCTACGTGTATGTTGTCAATGTCATAGGCTTTTCCGAAAGGAAGAACCACAATGGACTATCGGGCGTCCGGTCCTGGTGGCACCGCTTCCCACGCAACAACAGCAGAGGTCAACGCCTCGCATTGTACTCCCACGCGTTCCTCTTGACCCGGGTTGCAGCTGAAACACTGACTTGCGCATCGGATCCAATCCCTGTCATCTGCCGCAGCTCGCGGCTCCGAAAATACCACAAGAATACCTGATTTGAGTGCAGAAGTTTTTGACCCCATTGCTAGACTTGAAAACCACACTCCGCGCTGATCGAGCGAGGTGCGCTTTCTGTAAGCCACCGAGGGCTGCTTTTACAGCCCAGTTCGATGCATTGTACGCCGCTAACCTACACACACTGATTGATAGACCTCTTCTGGGATCAGTGTCCACCCGCAAAAAGGACTCAATAGCCGCCGATGCTCTACAATTCGATCTTACGCGCTCTAGTTTATCGGTGTCAGAAGCGGTACTGATGCCGATAGCGCTGCACTGGTGGCGGACTAGATAAGTTGACGGTCAAAACCATGGCAGGGGCATATAAAGGGCTTCTTCCGCAAAACTGGAACCGCCGTGATGGAGTTGAGGACTTTTGTCGTAGCCTGAGGAGCGAAGGACATCCGGGATGAGTGAAGCATTCCCAAGTACGGTACTTCTATTCGATGGATGACCTTAATCCCAATGTTGGACAGGGGACCCTTGGCCCGCTCAAGGTTGTTCGCGCCAATAGATCTATTTCTCTCGCTCGGGGTTTTTGGTTGTTCCAACGTAGCTCTAGAAACGCCCGGGGATGAAACCCAGAGCCATTTTAACGCCTCCAAAGAAAGTAATCCTTGGGAAAGGTCAGATCTTCAACAAATGCTCCACACGAGAACCACGCTGGCGTTAAATGGGGCAGTTCGGCCTAGGGCAGATGGGACTTTTTGTGGAATGCTGTAAAGATGCGGAATGTCACGAGCTCAGTGTTCACAACACTTTTTGCACGAGTTGGTTCACCTACCCCAAAGCTCCTTATCTCTAGACTCCTCATCCCCTGTTTCTCAGTGGCTTCTTGGTATTTTCCACCACTAAATGCTGTCTAACTTTAAAAAAAAAACAGTGTGGGAACCGAACCTTTACCATTTCGTGAACTTAGAAGAATTCACCAGCCTCTACAAAATAGCCCGGTGCGTCAGCAGGAATTAACTACAGGCTCCTCCCCCTCCACCAGCCAAAAGGCGCCCAAGAATAATACTAAAGTATACTTTTATTTAAGATCTTGTGAGTAGGGAAGCTGAATCCTGTTGTTATCCCTAGCTATAGCCCTTCAATACCTATTTGGGTAGGAATGTTGTGGAATTCTTTCTGCCACAATATCCTTTCTCTGACGGATACGTAGGCCTCTTAAATTTCCATTTATCCCCTCTAATGTCCGCGAAGAGGCTCTTTTCACCTCGCAATATTCAGAGGCAATAGAGGAAAAGGGGAGAGGGTGATGAAAGTCGAATTAATTAATTCGTGGAAAGGCGTGGCATCGTGGAGAGGAGAGCGAGAATTCTCTGGGGACAGCGCGACCGCCCCAATCAACAGAATTCCCTGGGGACCATGGCGCTGGCGAGGGGACCTCCACGGATACTGCCTCACACACTCGGACGAACGCGCCAGCACCCGCACAGCAGACCACATCTACGCCGTCGTCGACGACAGTCCTCGTCTAGTACCATCGTTTTGAAGCAGCCGCCATGTCACGACGAAAACAACTGAAGCCACAACCAGTCAAAGGTGAGATTGCCCTCGATTTGGTCCCTATACCCTTCGCTACTGGAAAATTATTTCAAAATTGCTTTAGAGGATGGATCCCAGTCCTGCAGCGACGACGGCAACGAAAACAACTCTAAAAGGAAGTGAGTAGTTCTATTCCTCCTAGGGTGGTCTTCAGAAAGCTCCTAACTTTTTTCAAGGCGACTACTTTTTGAAATCTCCCAAGTGAAACCTGAGCCATGTGACGACGAGACGGAATCGATCGCGAATTCAATCAATAATGAGCTGAAACTTGAGTGCCAATTCTGTGGTTCGTCATTCGACTCGGTATCCGACTTGCAGACGCACACCCTCCGAGATCATCTACCAGTGGTAAGTCGTGGGAATATACTGGTTCGATGTCCATCATGAATGGGCTATTGGAGTAGTAATTGGTTGGAAAAAGGTCCCAGTCGAACACCCTAATCACCTCATTGAATGACGTTAAAGGGCCACCCGGTTGGTCGGAATTTTTTGGCCATTCGTCTGTCTAGAAGTATTCTCGGGAGCCGATCTTGGCTAAAGTACCGCGGCCCAAGTTGTCCCTTGGGAAATCTCAGCATCCAACCGGCAGCTGCCTAGTCCAGACATTCAACCTTCATTGATCGTCGGGAATTTCATTGTTGTTGTTGACGAGGGGTGTTCTGACTGGGGCAATTTTTTTTCTCGGACAAAAGGTAATTTTTCAAAATATAAATTTTCAGCCGGCGCCATCATTGGAATGTCAGCACTGTTTTGCCGTGCTGCCATCGTTTGCCGCATTTGTGATGCATATGAGAGGGCATCTGAACGATCGTGAAGAGACTAGCAGATGTCCGCGATGTCCCCTCTCCTTTAACGACACGCAGGTGGGCGGAGACATCGTTTTTACGGCAATTTCCGAATGGATATACGCTTCATAATAGCTGCCATGAAAAAGGGCGGAAGAGACCGAAGGATTTCTAAAGAATGAGCCCAATGTTAGGCGGAACTTTCATTCATCACAACAATTTCAACGCTCTTACTGATGACCATAATTACATAAATAGTATTAAAAGCTCAAAGTGTTGTTGACAGGGTGTCTTTAGGTTCACTTATATCGTTGATTAGGTCTAAATTGCCAAATGGCTGCCATAAATTATCCACGGTTCATTACGCATTGACGTTTTTGCCTGATAGATAGGCATGTGATGGATGAGCGAGCTTAACTTTTACTTTTTATACACTTAGCTGCAGAATGATGAAATGCCCGCCGTTGACTAATCTCGTTGGATTACGCCGCGCATTTAGCTTTTCTCTGAAATTTTGGAGACACTAATGCGCTTCCGTGCTATACAGTGGCCCAAAGGGATCAGGCAGTCCTCACGGCAAAATTATGGCGTCCCAGAGAAGCTTTTCCCCTATTAAGCACCTACTACGGAATCATTCGCCCGGAAATGAATTCGATTTCACGGTTCAGGAAAGTGCAATGCGGCGCCATAATCCCTTCAGTTTTCAGTTGAAGTATTAGTGAAGTTCGATAGAATTTGGAATGCCTGCTCTAGATACTTGTATCTCGGGTTGATAGTTCCAGTATCAACAGGTCTCTTAAAGGTACCGTCCGCGATCAGGTATAGAATGGAAAATATGGCGTCGGGAAGGTAAAGTGGTCCGCGACGAACAACCTTGTACCGGTTTCGAAAAATTGTAAGGGAGGGGCGCTATAGCGCAATATAGGTTCAGTGACGCCTCCTTTTTTCCAGTGACTCCGCCTCCAGACTCCGCCTTCAAGGCCCGCCTTTCAGTGAAAAACGAAGCTGCAGGACGAAAGCATGAAAATCGTCACTTGTACGGTCGTAGAGTTCTTATCGGGGAATCAGCTGTGCGGATGAGGGCGTAGTGTTGAAGATGGAGTTAGTTGGGCACGTACAAACTGGGATCAGAAATGGGGTTCTATCTGGGGCAGTTGGCATGCCTTTTTCTGTGTTCACTATCGAGTTAGTCACATTCTTATCGTCTATATGTAAACCCTTAATCCACCATCTGTGGTGGTGAATGATCGCGGGCTTCGCCTTTAATTTAGTCCAGATGTGTTTGGAGACCAAAACTTTGTGCAGCTCGGCGGCGGAGGGGGGGGAGGGACGGACTTTGCAGTTTCGCTGATTCGCTATTTTGGTTCACAAGTTTCACTCTGTTGAAACCCGTGAACTCTTGTGAAGCTGGAACAAGCTTGTCAAGTTGTCAAGTCACATGGTGAAACTTGTCACCTCTTCTGAGCTCATGAAATAACTCTCTGGAAGGCGACATGACCGTGATGGGATATCTAGCAGAGAAGCGGATGTCCCCTCTTCACTCAAACCTCCGCTCCCCGTCAACGAAATGCCCCTTAAATTATAAGGTGTGATGAGGGCTAGGAAATTAGAGTTTGGAAGGAAAGTCCTGTCAGTGTTTTTTGAAAAGCTTACAGTTTTTGATTCTCGATGCTCGTACATGACGTAACATGCTATGCTTGTAGGACACTCTGGGAGCTTTCCTGCAAGAGGCGTGTGAGGGCGCCTGCTCTTCCCTGGGTTAATTACGATGTCAGTTTCACAGGAGTATCTTCGGGTCATCATCTTCTATCAGTGGCCCCGCGGCACTGGAGCCACGGCAGCTGTCCGTAACATCAACAGTGCATTGAGGGAGGACACCACTACCGTCAGGATAGTTTACTTTTGGTTCGCTCGCTTCGCGAAAAGAGGCTCGATCCTTGAACCTCGGTCGGGACGCCTCAACGAAGTGAAAGGTTTCACCGTTCTCGAAGCTGTCAAGGAGGGTCCGGAGGCTACCACCCGCAGTCTTGCGACAAGACTCGGATGTACCTAACTGACAGTCGTCCACCGCCTGTAAGCCTTTGACTACCAAGAAGTACTGGCTTGATGGATCATTCATACCTTGACCGATGCACGCTGTGCACCCGGGTACCCCTTGCTTAGTCTCCCCTTCTCTGCCCTCGTCAGAAGGAGTTTCCGGGAGACTGCTTAGTGGGGATGAGAGATGGGTCCTCTATGATTTCAACCCACACAGTACCGTCTCTCTCAAGGAGAAGATCCATTCTAGCAGTCCAAACCGGGCATGTATTCCGAAAAGGTCTCCTGTGCTGCTCCTGGGACGCGAGGAGGTGCTGAGAGAAAACGAACGGCCTGCCCATGAGAACAGGAGGTCACCGCATTTGTGTCTTTCAGTCCTAAAAATGGAGTGGAAAATTGTTTGGCGAAAAATGACGGACTTGCTTTGGGTACACTTCGTTCGCAGCCACATTGAGACCCATACCTGCTTGAAACCTACAAATAATTGAGCGAGCGCAAAGGCTGGAGGACCAGTCCCCGCTTACCAATATTCTTTCTGACGTAGTCTTCTATAACTGCTTCTGCCTCGCCGCTTAAAGGCAGTTGGCACGATGGTTTCCTACTTAGCCTAAAATGCTAGTAGGGCGCTGTATAGTGGGGAAATGGCGAAAGAACGGAGTGAAACGGTCAAAATCCGGCGAAGAAAAAGCCTCCGTTCTCAATGTGTTAGGAATCAATTTTTGGACGAGTATCCTGTAGGCATCTTGCAATAAACCGCCTGCGAGTACGGCTGCACATATGTCCTCATATATCCATGCAGCATCACCGCCGCTTCATACCAATCCCTTTGCTTCATAATTTGCTCAGCAAATGAATGAATACGAGCGTCAGAAACGGTCGTCCGTTTGTGGGCGGGCGGGCAAGGAAGGCGTTTGGGACGTAAAGTTGTTGCTCAATAGGGCGTTATAGAGGTACCCTCCTTGAAAAAG